GGCTCGTCCAACTGTGGACCCACCACCCGCAGGAGGAACATGAAGGGTCCGGTGCAATGCGAATCGGGTGGCAGACCAAGGCGGGAGCCTTGGCGGTCCAATCCCCGGACAAGAAAACTAGTTTTTGGGACATGGAACGTCACCTCGCTGGCGGGGAAGGAGCCGGAGCTTGTGGCAGAGGTTGAGCGGTACCGGCTAGATATAGTCGGACTCACCTCGACACATTGCATTGGCTCTGGAACCCGAGACCTGGAGAGGGGTTGGACACTCTACTTTGCTGGAGTTGCTCCGGGTGAGAGGCGGAGGGCTGGGGTTGGCTTTTTGTTAGCCCCGAGACTCTCTGCCTGTGTGTTGGGGTTTACCCCGGGGGACAAGAGGGTAGCTTCCTTGCGCCTTCGGGTCGGGGAACGGGTCCTGACTGTTGTTTGTGCTTATGGGCCAAATATCAGTTCAGAGTACCCACCCTTTTTGGAGTCCCTGGGACGAGTGCTAGATAGTGCTCCATCAGGGGACTCCATTGTCCTGCTGGGGGACTTCAATGCTCACGTGGGCAATGACAGCTTGACCTGGAGGGGTGTGATTGGGAGGAACGGCCCACCTAATCTGAACTCGAGTGGTGTTTTGTTATTGGACTTCTGTGCAAGCCGCAGTTTGGCCATAACGAACACCATGTTCGAACATAAGGATGCCCACCGGTACACTTGGTACCAGGGCAGCCTAGGTCACAGGTCGATGATAGATTTTGTAGTCGTATCATCTGACCTGCGGCCATATGTTTTGGACACCCGAGTGAAGAGAGGGGCGGAGCTGTCAACTGATCACCACCTGGTGGTGAGTTGGATCAGATGGCAAGGGAACATGCCGCGTAGACCTGGCAGACCCAAACGCATAGTGAGGGTCTGCTGGGAACGCCTGGCAGAAGAACCTGTCAAGACGGTCTTCAACTCCCACCTCCGGCAGAGCTTTGACCACGTCCCGAGAGCAGTGGGGGACATTGAGTCCGAGTGGGCCTTGTTCCACTCTGCGATTGTCGAGGCGGCTGTTGCTAGCTGTGGTCGTAAGATGGCCGGTGCCAGTCGTGGTGGCAACCCCCGTACCTGCTGGTGGTCACCAGAGGTTCGGGGAGCCGTCAGGCTGAAGAAGGAGGCCTACAGGGCGTGGCTGGTCTGTGGGTCTCCGGAGGCAGCAGACAGGTACCGGATAGCCAAGCGGGGTGCAGCAGTGGCAGTTGCCGAGGCAAAATCTCGGGCGTGGGAGGAGTTTGGTGAGGCCATGGAGAAAGACTATCGATCGGCTCCAAAGAGGTTCTGGCAAACTGTCTGGCGCCTCAGGAGAGGAAGGCAGCAACTCGCTCACACTGTTTACAGTGGGGATGGGGAGCTGCTGACGTCAACTGAGGCTATAGTCGGACGGTGGAAGGAATACTTTGAGGAGCTCCTCAATCCCACCAATGCGCATTCCGAGGAGGAACCAGAGCTGGGAGGCCTGGGGATGGACTGTCCGATCTCGGGGGCAGAAGTTGCTGAGGTAGTCAAACAACTACACAGCGGCGGAGCCCCGGGGGCGGATGAGGTTCGTCCTGGGTATCTCAAGGCTATGGATGTTGTAGGGCTGTCATGGTTGACACGTCTCTACAACATTGCGTGGTCATCGGGGGCAGTTCCTAGGGAGTGGCAGACCGGGGTGGTGGTCCCCATCTTTAAGAAGGGTGACCTGAGGGTGTGTTCCAACTATAGGGGGATCACACTCCTCAGCCTCCCTGGAAAGGTCTACGCCAAGGTACTGGAGAGGAGGGTCCGATCGATAGTTGAATCTCAGATAGAGGAGGAGCAATGTGGTTTTCGTCCTGGCCGTGGAACTGTGGACCAGCTCTATACCCTTGCAAGGGTGATGGAGGGGGCATGGGAGTTTGCCCAACCAATCCACATGTGCTTTGTGGATTTGGAGAAGGCTTATGACCGTGTCCCCAGGGGCACCCTGTGGGGGACGCTCCAGGAGTATGGGGTGGGTGGCTTTCTGTTAAGGGCCATTCAGTCCCTTTACCAGAGGAGCGTGAGTTTGGTCCACATAGCCGGTAGTAAGTCGGACCTGTTCCCAGTGAGGGTTGGACTCCGCCAGGGCTGCCCTTTGTCACCGGTTCTGTTCATCACTTTTATGGACAGAATTTCTAGACGCAGCCGTGGTGTGGAGTGTGTCGAGTTTGGTGGCAGGAGAATCTCGTCTCTGCTTTTTGCGGATGATGTGGTCCTCCTAGCTTCATCCAGCTCTGACCTTCAGCTCTTGCTGGGTAGGTTCGCGGCCGAATGTGAAGCGGCTGGGATGAGGATCAGCACCTCCAAATCTGAGACCATGGTTCTCGACCGGAAAAGGGTGGCTTGCCAACTCCGGGTCGGGGGAGAGGTCCTACCTCAAGTGGAGGAGTTTAAGTATCTCGGGGTCTTGTTCAAGAGTGAGGGTAGGAGGGATCAGGAGATTGACAGGCGGATTGGTTCGGCGTCTGCAGTGATGCGGACGCTGAGCCGATCTGTCGTGGGGAAGAGGGAGCTGAGCCAGAAAGCCAGGCTCTCGATTTACCGGTCGATCTACGTCCCAATCCTCACCTATGGTCATGAGCTTTGGGTAATGACCGAAAGAACGAGATCGCGGATACAAGCGGCCGAAATGAGTTTCCTCCGTAGGGTGGCCGGGCTCAGCCTTAGAGATAGGGTGAGGAGCTCGGACATTCGGGAGGGACTCGGAGTAGAACCGCTGCTCCTCCGGATCGAAAGGAGCCAGTTGAGGTGGTTTGGGCATCTGGTCAGGATGCCTCCTGGACGCTTCCCCGGGGAGGTGTTTCGGGCATGTCCTGCCGGCAGAAGGCCCCCGGGTCGACCCAGGACACGTTGGAGAGGTTACATCTCCAATCTGGTCCGGGAACGCCTTGGGGTCCTGCTGGAGGAGCTGGTGGACAAGGCCGGGGAGAGGACGGCCTGGAGCTCCCTAATTGGGATGCTGCCCCCGCGACCCGGACCCGGATAAGCGGAGGAAGACGAAGACGAAGACGAAGACTTTAAGTGTTCCAACAGGACTCATTTCACGTAGCGTTAAAAGGACATAACACATTACTTTCACCGATCCAGTCAGAATCTTACAGATCTGACGGAGGCGTGGTTCTGATGGTGTTTGGTAATTTTTCATTCGACAATAAACCATAACATCCGAGGTATAAAACTAAACCACTTCATCTCTAACGCCAGTTCAAAGCGTTCCAGAGAAAGTGACGGAGTGGCCAATCCTATCTAAACTCTTTAACCGAAAGAACCAAAGACAAGCTGAAAAATCCAGTCGCTATAACAACCAGCGGCAATAACAGCTCCTTTCAGAATAAAAGTTCCATCCACCGACCCAGGTTTGGGTCTAACCAGACGCCAATAAAAGTGTCGTGTGCTGGAAGTAACTCAAGATGGGTTTGATCGGAACCGCGGCTTCTTCTACCAGCTCGGTTCCAGAGAGGGTTCACTGGACCTCGATATTCCTGATCTACAGAGGACTTCCACTGAAGGCAAAGGTAGACCGGCAAATGGTGTCTCATGTGTTTCTGAAGCTAACCAAAGCTTAATGCAAAACAACATCGTCAGTTCCCGTCAGAACTAATCGCTTTGTCGGATTTGCTGGTTCTGAATTACATCACACGTCATCCATCCACTGCCTCATCCACTTTAGTTACACCATACATTTAGTTTTAAAGTCAGTCTAGTTTAATTTGTTAGTAATAAAATTCGTAAATTTTAAACTTGACTCTCTTCTGTTGTCTCTGAGTGAACATGTAACGGTTATCTAATCCCTGCAATAAAAAGATCCAATCTTCTGGTTTAAATAACCCAGTGTCCATTAGATGGGACTCATACTCGATATGGATCTTATGTCTATGGTCATTAATTGAACTGTAATCCTCGGTTTCATTACATATATATCCAATTCAAATTCATTTATATTGTGTCAAATCACGACAAGAGTTGTCTCAAGGCACTTCACACAGTATCAGTATAACGTTTCCTATATGAGGATCACAGCAGGTTGCATCGAGTCACTGACTAGTGTCAGTGACTATACAGCAATCCTCATACTAAGCAAGCATGCAGCGACAGTGGAGAGGAAAACTCACTTTTAACAGGAAGAAACCTCCAGAGAATCCTGGCTCAGTATAAGCAGCCATCCTCCACGACTCACTGGGGATCGAGAAGACGGCACACAGACACACAGACACACACACACACACACACGCACACGCACGCACACACACACACACACACACACACACACACACACACACACACACACACACACACACACACACACAGTTCTACAGTCTGCTCTTTAACTGTATTATTTTCTGCTATTTCAGCTGTTAACTTTATTTTCTCTCTAAGTGTTTTTATCCCCAGAAGAAGCTACAACGATGTTCTGCTGAGCTGTGGTGGCCTCATGGAGGGGGCCATCGTCTAGCACACTGCTGCTAACCACTTAAAAATTCTCTCTCTCCTGATAATAACTTTTTACTCTCTTTGACGTTGGATGTGCTACTACTAGTTTACCCGTTTAATTATAGATCCACTAGGATAAATACAATAAAGTTCATCTCTCACCAAATAGAATATTTACTTACAAATCACGATGTAACCATAGAAAGATGCAATCATAGATGACAGTTTTATTTGTTTTTACTCTTGTCTTTTTCGTAAAATATGTTCTTAACAGTTTTTTTTCTTTGTTTCAAATGTAAATCGTTGTCTGTCTTATCTCTTTTAACATTAACCTGCCAGGGGACTGCAGATTAGCCTAAGGCTACAATCTGGTATATTTACAGTTGTATTGCTGTTCATAAATATTCATTGTCCTGTGTGTGTGTGTGTGTGTGTGTGTGTGTGTGTGTGTGTGTGTGTGTGTGTGTGTGTGTGTGTGTGTGTGTGTGTGTCAGTATCTTTTCCACGTCCTGGTTAATTCCTGACTGCAGTGCAGAGGTAAACGTAGAGCATGAACCTGCAGGTCAGATAAACAAAAATATTTGCAGCAAGCAAAAAGGCTAACAGTTTGATGCATTTGTCAGTCGGGAACAATGTAATATATAAATCAGATAGTTTCATCCTCAAGCCATAAACATGGATGGATGTGAGAAAAATAAGTTTAAAGTATGAGAGTACAATAATCTGGCTGCTTACTTCCCACATATACCAAATATGCACCACCACTGTGTGTATGTAAAGTAACTACATATATGTTTCAGTTAGACTAAACAAGACTGTTATTTAATAGTTTGATGTAAATCATTTATGTTGCTTTAATAAAACTGATATTTTAACATTTTAAACACAATTTGACACATGAAACGTGATGTAAGGGCATGTGTTGCAATTGCACAGTCATCCTTCAGAGGGCGCTGTCTCGACGGTCTCCGGGTCTGCAGCCGCTGGACAAACGTCGTGCTGAAAACTGAACCATAAAAAAACTAAAGTTAGACTGCGTCCACGCATTCATGCTGCCTTCGTCTGGGTGTAGGGCGGATGGAGTGTGAGCTAACTGTCGGGGGTTGAGAGGAAACAACTGAGAAGACATGTTGGTGTTGGTCGCGCTGAATTGTGGGCATTCTCGTTGTGCCGCCCTCTCTGGTCCTCCCAAACTTCTCAGAGCTCCATCAAGGTGACGTAAGTTATACCGGAAGAACAAACATTTCATTCAAACAATAAAACTCAGGAAAGCGTATTTGTAGCTGTACATTTCACGTGAAGGGAGAGTAGTTCATTATTGATAAATAAGTGACCCACACTTGTATAGCACATTTCAGAGTCAGGACTCCAAAGCACTTTACAGTGTCTCATTCAGCCATTCACACACTGCTGGTGATGAGCTACGATGTAGCCACAGCTGCTCTGGGGTGTGCTGACGGGCGAAGCTGCAGAGAACAGGCACCAGCAGTCCCTCAGACCACCACCAACAGGTAAGGTGGTTATGTGTCTTGCCCAAGGACACAACAGCAGAATTCTCTAACGGGAGTCGGATCGATCCTGCAACCTGCTTTACCTCCAGAGCTGTTACCTCCATTATTATTATTATTAGTAGTAGTAGTACTAGTAGTAGCAGCAGTAGTATTGACTTGGCCAGAAGGCTAATTTCTCCATCAGTCTGCCATAAAGATTTTTAAAAGGTGTGCTTAATGTTTTGCTGCTTGTCCAGCATTCACCAGTTTCTGTTTGCCAACATACATCTTCTTATGGCCAATCAGACATCCATAGTCTTGCTCCTTAATCCAGTTCAGGATCACGTGTAATCCACTTTATGGTGGCAGACACAGATTAAAAACACAAGCAATCCTGAAAACAGGTCACTCCTGGTTTCAGTCTGTAGATAACAATTAGTGTTGTCAAAAAATCGATACCTAGATATAAATCGATGCTAAAAGTGGTATCTAAATTAGATATTCCATCCCTGTGGTATCGATATTATGGAGTCTCACATATACACAGCCTTCTTAGGTAAAGCAGCCTCCGCCTCCCAGACAAACAGAAGACGACGCCGCATGGCTACATTGCAATTTCCCACGCGAGTTGTCTCCGATCCAAGTGTTGTCTGCCAAATAAATAAACAAAAACATAAACAGCGAATTTGGGAGGCGCTTCACAGCCCAACTTCATTAGCATACCAAGTCCGACACGTAGTTGTATATTCACGCTTATGTGCTTAAAGGAAACTCCCGTTTATTGCAACCCGGACTTAATCTCTAGCATGCAGTACGTTTGTTTACTCACGCTGACAACTTTGGTGCTACTTGGATTCCCCGGGGTATTTAGATCCATCGGCGGATCGCCATCAGTGTATATCCATATAACGGGTGCGGACGGGCACCCATGGTGCAGCCTCGAAATAAGACATTATCTGCACCAAAACATCTTCATGTCGAAAGGTTTTGTTAGGAATCATTAACGTGATTCCCCTGTTCGTTTGGAGCGAGTCTGGGATTTCTAGGCGTAAACAGACTAGCCGCGGCTAATCTAACCGGCGCTTTTAATGACGTCACTGCCGTGCGCCAATCTGTTTTTATTAAGATTACCGGTAGATGTACCTTTGTCCTACTGTGGAGAAATTAGTTTTCTCCCTTTACTGACCAACAGAGTTGTTCAAAAGTACAGAACAAAACATATGGCATTACATCTTATGACAAAAATGCACCTTAAACAGAGTTTAAGCAGCAAAACATCACTCTGCAAATATTGTTTGTTGATGTATGTTTACTTACTGAATGATTTGTGTTTTTATTCTGTACAGTGTCCTTGAGTGACCAGAAAGGCGCTTTTTTAAAAATTAAATGTATAAAAAAATGTATTAAATAGTGTATATATAGTGAGACAATTCATGATTTAAAGTGTTAACTTTCGCCAGTTTTTGTATGCACGTTTTAAAAAATGCTGATACTTGAAAGGTTTAAGCACTTTACACACTTAATTCTTAACATTTAATTTTTGCAATATGAATTGAGGAATGTTATTTTTTGAATAAACGTGTTCAATAAATTGGTGTTTTTAAATAGTATCGAAATCAAGTTTTTTTTCCAGTTTCGAAGCGAGTTTGAAATTTTAGTATCGTGACAACCCTAATAACAATTATATTCCAGATTTTCACACTGTGAGGTGTTCGGAGTTTTAGAATGAATTTAAATATTTATTTTATTTGAAAAAGATTTCGTTTAAATCTGAGTAAAAATGAAGCCGACCTCATTACTTGCCTTTATTGTGAAAATCCCTCCCGGAAGTGCCGTGCTCTCTGAGCCTCCATCTTGACGCCGGCGGATCCTCCATTCATTTCATTCGCGCACAGTCGCATCCGAGCTGCGAGCCCTCCCCTCCCGTTTCTGTTCGCCAGGAAAGATGGCTGCTCCGGCGGTGGTGACAAACTCCGGCCCGCCGCTCTGCCCGAGCTTCGCGGAGGTCTGTTCGTTTATGGAGCGGTACGGACCGGCGCTGGACCTCCCCGAGCTCACGTTCCTGCAGATGGAGAGGTACCTTCGAGACACGTCGGCAGGTGAGCGCCGTTGGAAGGAGAAAGAAAGCTGCGACACCGACCGAAGGGGCCATCATCATCATGGTGATGTTCAGGAGGAGTGTGATGGAAACTGTCTGTGTGGCCCGGGTGGGCGGCTTCACACCCGGACCCGGTACCAAACCGCCGTGTAGTACCGACCCGGGTCAGAACCGGGGTTGGTTGGAGAGGAAACGTGATGGAGAGGCGTGCGCGTTAAAGTTTATGGAACCGGGAACACGCGGGAGCTTGTAATCGGTAGTTAGTAGAAACTCATCGGTAATGTTTATGCTGTAAACGTAACGATGCGGCTCTGAGCGTCACCGGTTGGCTTTGGAGCCTTGTCAGGTGGAGTTTTAACCGGCCTCCCGTCACCGGCAGCTCCCGGTCTTCTGCACAGTGGCTGTTCGGTCACGAACACGTCGTTGTCTCTCCGGTCCGGTCGGTGTTTGGCGCAGCTGTCAAGACCCACAAAGCTACCGTCGCCCAAAAAACACTGGATGTCATTTTTTTCTGGGGAGAGAAAAAAATTCTGGACATGCGCATTAGACTTGGCTAACGAGTTAGCTTAAAAGATCCACTCAAGTTTTTAAATAAAACGAATATTTTTATTGATTTTCATCATCGTAGTTTATCTAAACACGATTTCCCGCGTTACGTTTGCCACAGCTCCTACGGGCTAGCTAACTTGTCTGGTTTAGCATCGAAAACACATTTTTAGTCCCTAAAACCAAATTATACGTAACAGCTGACATGTTTGCTGTAAATGTTGGGGTTCACACGTGATTCATATTTTATTCTACATTTGGATTCTGGACCCGAGATGAAAGGACTTCTACTTAATTTCAGTTGGTTTACCGAAGCAGCAGGAACAGTGGAATTTCCCACAAATGAAAGGACTCCGTAAAAGCCTCACATTATATCATCGTCCGGGCTGGTTTGGTTTGTTTACGAGGCTGAAGATGTTGTTGTCTTCTGCGTGCAGAGTAAACACGTGCATCAGTAGGAATAAGCTGTACGTTATAATACACTAGTAACGGACACACTCGCATGCATAAAAACGTGGATTCTGTTTAAAACACGTCAATAAAAACGATCATTAATGGTCACAAAACTCCGGGATAAAAACCAACCGACATGTAAGTTTTCAGCTGCTGAAAGGAGCCTCAAAAACCTGAGAAGCAGTTCGGGACCTTGTAGGGCTCTACAGCCCCCCGAGGCGCCTATGCTAAACCAGCCATTCAGCCATGTTTAATGGTTTTTGGATTCTTACTGGGAAAGTGGAATAAAGCCGCTCTGCTTAGTTTGGCCGGTGTTTCAGAATCTGATCGTTATTAAACGTGTTTCGTTTTTCTTTGTGGGGAAAATGAGACCAGGCGTCTGTTCTATTCAGACAAAACCGTTTAAAACATCCTCGTCACATGAAGGCAGCATTTAACCGAGACCATCTCATGTGAAGTGACCTGAAGCTGAATCGTTGTTTCTGTTTCTAGTCCCTAAACCTCTGGTGGAGCTCCACGTGAAGCTGCTCAGGAAGCTGGGGAGATCCGTGACCACTGACCGCTGGGAGAAGTACCTGGCCAAGGTGAGCAGTTTTCCTGCAGCTGAGTAAACGTGTGGATCCAGAGGAGTCCTGATCAAAGGCTTGGCTGTGTCCTGCAGGTTTGCCAGGAGCTGAACAGTACGTGGGCCTGGGAGCTGGAACAGAAGGGCTACCAGGAGATGTCGATGGAGTGCAAGTCCAGCATCCTAAAAGTATACCGTCTTTAGAACTGGACCTTCTGGGTCTGCGCCACAGAACGTCTGCATGAACCTCCTCCTGTTGTGTCTCCTCCAGTACCTGTGTGAGTGCCAGTTTGATGAGAACTTGAAGTTTAAGACGTTTGTGAACGACGAGGACCCAGAGAAGATGCGTCTGCAGCCAGTTGGTCGGGACCGGCAGGGCCTGATGTACTGGCTCCAACTGGACCATGAGCAGAACATCCGACTGTTCACGGAGGAGCAGGATGATCTGGACGGATCCACCTGGAAATGCATCGTCAGGTTGCACCTCTGCCCGCCTCTCAGACATGAGTGGTGTTTTTGTTTGGAAGGTTTCTGGACTCACCTGGTTCTGGTTCGGCAGGACCCGGAATGACCTGGCCGAGGCTGTGGAGCTGCTGAGGGCTCAGGTTGGCCCAAACCAGAGTCGGAATCAGAACCAGGCAGGATCCAGGAGTAACAGCCCTGCAGCCAAGGACACGGGTACGTGCTCGTCCTCCTGGCTCTCCAGACAGGAAGTAAACGTTAAAGTTCAGCTCCTAGAATCAGAGCCAACTTTATTAAATACTGTTCAGAAACGACGTCAAAACGAGGGTCGGGTCTCTCCTGAATACGTCATTTAAAGTAAAAGCTGAAGTCCTGACTCCGCCCACTCTGGTGTGTTTCATGTGAAGCTGCAGGTGAAGGAGAGTCTGGACTCTGCTGCTCCAAACCGCCCCAGACCTCAGAAGAACGAAGCCACACGGAGGAGGAACGGCTTAAAGAAGGTACCCAGCGTAGGACTCAGAAACCCGTGAGAGGCTCTGTGTGACGCTCGAGTTTCTGTGTTTCAGACGTGAAGCGGGACGACGCGACGCCCATCAAACTGGAAGACATGGAGGTGAAGGAGAAGACGGAGCTCAGACCCGCCGCCTTCGATAACCGTGTTAGCACCATCACCGCCATCAAACAGGAGCTCAAGGACGAGGCCCAGAACGCCGTGCCCGTTGTCATGGCGCCCAGCGTGGTTCTGACAAAAGTCAACCTGGTAGAAGAAGCAGAGCGAGCCGTTGTCAGGAGCAACCAGCAGGCCAAGATACCACTGAAGAAGAGGGATCTGAAGCTTGCCGATAGCTTCCATAGCAACCACCTTAGCAACAGCAGCAGCATCATCGTCTGTAACCCCGCCGTGATCCACAGTCAAGACGGACGTGAAAAAGCACCTCCAGGAAGTCCAGCGTCCTCGCAGCAGCAGCTGCTCGTCTCCGCGCAGAGGCAGGAACTGACCAATGGCAGAGCTTCTCATCTGCCTCTGAAGGAGGGACAAAACGGTGTCGTAGGGGTGAAAGGTCAGGCTGGAGCTGTCAGCCACGTCGGAGTCATCCGCGGCCCGTCTGAGTACCACCGAGCCACTGGTGCTGAGCAGCAGGAACAAAACGGGCCGAGCCCAGAACTCCACAGGACCAGGGTGGTGGAGGAGGACAAGGAGCTGACCCGGAAGTCCGTGCTGGTGAGGAAGGGACCTCCTGAAGGGGGGGCGACACCAGCACCTCCCTTTCTTCCTCCTCATGCAGGGATGGGGGATGAGAAGCTCCTAAAGCAGTCATCCTGTCAACCCGACGGAGCTCCTGAAGCCTCAGAAAGGAGCGCGGATTCTGTTGGGATCACCTCTCCGTCTGCAACGCCACAACCAAGGAGACGGCAGGAGGAGAACCGGGACAAAGCGGCTACGAAGGAGTCGGAGGAGACGAGGGATGCAGGAAGTCCTCAGCAGAAGGATGAGGATCCGAGGGTGACGGGAGAAAAAGTGGTGGAATCAAGCAGCTCGGTTTCATCTGTGAAACGGGGAGGGGGGCTGAACGGTCGAGTTAGCACCAAGAACCTCCAGTTTGGATCAGAACCTAAACAGAACCCTCTGGAGGAGGTGTCTTCAGAGCTCCAGAAGGAGGGAATCCGCTTAAAGATCAAGATTCCTCCTCACAGGAGAAACAAGTTAAGGAGAAAGGGAGGAAAGGCGCGAGAGCCAGAGGAGCAGGAGGAAGGGAGGTCTCTGAGGAGATCCGTGAGGATCTGCAGGTACGTGAGGATCCACGAGGAATCGCTTTAGCGTCACACACGGCCGATTCTCACCTCAGTTCACCCTTTTCCTTTAAGATCCTCTGCTTTGCCAAGCTGCCGGCTGAGCGCAAAGGTGGCCGAGAGCCAGAGGAAGAAACTGCAGACAAAACCGGCTCTTCCCGTCCGAACCAGGGAGGTAGAGGAGGAGGACGAAGGTGATGAAGAGGAGCCACGCAGAACCTGTGGACCTGCTGGGAAACTCAGGAAACGAAGGGTAACCTGCTGCTGAAGGGAGGCTGGACCAATCTGTCCCTTTTGGTTCTATCGGGTCCGTTTTGGCTTTCGTTTCAGGGGAAACGGAGACACGGCCGACCGCGGTGGACCGTCGTCCGCTCAAAGAGACGCAGACCTGACGAAGACCTGCAGGACAGCGGCAGGACGGCAGGAGAGGAGGAGGAGGAGGAGGAGGAGGAGGGAGGCAGCCATTCAGAGGAAGAGTTGTATAAATCAGAGGAGGTTCCCCGAGAAGACGCCTGCACTCACTGTGGCCTCCCCAACCACCCAGAACTGGTAAGACCCGCCCCTTCCCCTCAGAGATCAGACAGGTGATGAAGGTGGGCTCACTCCACGACCTTCGTGTGTTCCTCAGATCCTGCTGTGTGACTCGTGTGATGGCGGATACCACACCGCCTGTCTGAGGCCACCGCTCATGCTGATCCCGGATGGAGAGTGGTTCTGTCCGCCGTGTCAGCACGTGAGACGCACGCAGAACCACCACGCCGTACCGGTCGTCTTCACGCGGCCCTGATCTACTAACAGCAGCTTTGTGTTTGTCTGCTCTAGAAGATGCTGTGTGAGAAGCTGGAGGAGCAGCTGCAGAACCTGGACAGCGCTCTGAAGAAGAGAGAGAGAGCAGAGCGGAGGTACCCTTCAGACAGGGCTCCTCTGGGAGGTTAGACATGTCTGCTGCCCCCTGGTGGACGATACAGAGTAATCTCACTACAACAGGGTTAAGGAACGGTTAAACGCCAAACTAGAGCGGGTTCAAGCTGCTGTAGCCCACGCCACCCCGTACCAAACCCACGATGCCACACACGTCCTCTGCTTTCTAGATCCAAACGTCTTCTGTTGTCCGCAACTTCAAATGCTGTTTTTCTTTTTGGGACTCTGGTAGTTTGTCCTAAAGCTGAAGGAAGACCTGGTAGTTTGTCCTAAAGCTGAAGGTAGACCTGGTATTTGTCCTAAAGCTGAAGGAAGACCTGGTAGTTTGTCCTAAAGCTGAATGTAGACCTGGTAGTTTGTCTTAAAGCTGATGGAAGACCTGGTAGTTTGTCCTAAAGCTGAATGTAGACCTGGTAGTTTGTCCTAAAGCTGATGGAAGACCTGGTAGTTTGTCCTAAAGCTGAAGGAAGACCTGGTAGTTTGTCCTAAATCTGATGGAAGACCTGGTAGTTTGTCCTAAAGCTGATGGAAGACCTGGTAGTTTGTCCTAAAGCTGAAGGAAGACCTGGCAGTTTGTCCTAAAGCTGAAGGAAGACCTGGTAGTTTGTCCTAAAGCTGAAGGAAGACCTGGTAGTTTGTCCTAGAGCTGAAGGTAGACCTGGTAGTTTGTCCTAAAGCTGAAGGAAGACCTGGGACGATAACAAATGATCAAACCTTTATTATGCTTACTCAGGTGGAATGTGATCAGCAGTAAAGAAACGTCTGAGCTCCGTTTGTTTCCTTCGAGATCGTAGAGATCTATGTTATTGATGGTAGACGGTTTGTGAACCTACCAGCGATGCGTTTGTCCTTTAGTCTCTTGTTCTGCTGCAGCTTCCCCCAGCAGTGCGGGTCATACACCTAAAATGGCGCTAAGGGGGTGTGGTCGACATGCAGGTCACGTGTCTGACTTAAACCGATATATCAAGGCTGGAAAAGTTGACATCATTCTCATCTATCGTACGATTTACTAGTTTATTTGTTATCGCCCAGCCCCAGCTGAAGCAGTAGCAGCCGGCTGTTTCTCCTTCTGTGGTGTTGTTGAGCGGAGGTCCTCTCTCACAGCGGTGTTCTGGTGCTGACCATGTGAGTGTGTGATGAGCGGAGGACCCAGGGAGGTGCGGCGGTTCGGACAGACGACCACCGGATGATCTGATGGTGGTTTTGGTCTGAGATGTGTTGTTGGCGGAGGTTTTTAGACAAATGTAACAGAAGCACTCCCGTCGTTTTTATCCCCACAGTATATCTCTAGCTATGGTACGTTGGAACATTAAGCTAGCTCTAACCTTTAACCCCCATGCAACCACAAAGTAATGAAGACTAGTGTTTGAGTCGTTTTCCTTTGAAACCATGGATGTAATGCAGCTTATCGTTTATTTCTTAAGCGCCTCCCATGACCAAGGAGCTGAACACAACCATAAAACTGCTGTCGTCATTCAAATAAAGAGAAAACGTTTGTTGGCTAAAAACAGGAAACTAACATCCATCCATTCATTCATTCATTCATTATCATCCATCCACCCATTTTCATCCGCTTATCCGGAGTCGGGTCGCGGGGGCAGCAGCCTAACCTGAGAGGCCCAGACTTCCCTCTCCCCAGCCACTTGGGCCAGCTCCTCCGGGGGAATCCTAAAGCGTTCCTTGGACAGGTGAGAGACATAGTCCCTCCACCGTGTCCTGGGTCATTCTTTAAGTCTCCTCACAGTTAGACATGCCTGGAAAACCTCACCAGGGAGGCGTCCTAACTAGATGTCTGAGCCACCTCAACTGGCTCCTCTCAATGTGGAGGAGCAGCGGGTCTACTCTGAGCCCCTCCCGGATGACCGAGCTTCTCACCCTATCTCTAAGGGAGAGCCCAGACACTGTGGGGAAAACTCATTTCGGCCGCTTGTATCCGCGATCTCGTTCTTTCGGTCTCTACCCAAAGCTCATGACCATAGGCAAGGGTAGGAACGTAGATCGACCGGTAAATCTAGAGCTGTGCCTTGTGACTCAGCTCTCTCTTTACCACGACAGACCAGAGACCCGATCCTCAGGCCACCAAAACGGATGCCCTCCACACATTGGCTGCACCTAGAAATCCTGTCCATAAGAGCTACGAACAGGATCGGTGACAAAGGGCAGCCTTGGCGGAGTCCAACTCTCACTGGGACCGAGCCCGACTTACTGCCGGCAATGCGGACCACACTCTGACACCGGTCATACAGGGACCTAACCGCCCGTATCAGAGGGCCTGGTACCCCATACTCCTGGAGCACCCCCCACAGGGCCCCCCGAGGGACGCGGTCAAACGCCTTCTCCAAATCCACAAAACACATGTAGACTGGTTGGACAAATTCCCACGCACCCTCCAGGATCCCCCTAAGGGTCTAGAGCTGGTCCAGTGTTCCACGGCCAGGACCAAAACCACATTGCTCCTCCTGAATCTGAGGTTCAACAATCCGACGGACCCTCCTCTCCAGAATCCTGAATAGACCTTACCAGGAAGGCTCAGGAGTGTGATCCCCCTGTAGTTGGAACACACCCTGCCGTCCCCCTTTTTAAATAAGGGGACCACCACCCTGATCTGCCAGTTCAGTGGGACTGCCCCCGATGTCTATGCGATATTGCAGAGCCGGGTCAGCCAACACAGCCCCACAACATCCAGAGCCTTAAGGAACTCCGGGCGGATCTCATCCACCCCTGGAGTCTTGCCACAGAGGAGCTTTTAACCACCTCAGTGACCTCAGCACCAGAGATTTGAGAGGCCAACCCAAAGTCCCCAGACTCTGCTTCCTCACTGGAAGACCTGTCAGTGGGATTGAGGAGGTCTTCGAAGTATTCTGCCCACCGATCCACAACGTCCTGAGTAGAGGTCAGCAGCACACCGTCCCCACTCTAGATAGTGTTGGTAGCACACTGCTTTCCCCCCCCGAGGCGCCGGATGGTGGACCAGAATCTCCTCGAAGCCGTACGGAAGTCTTGCTCCATGGTCTCACTGAACTCCTCCTCCAGCCCGGGTTTTTGCCTCGGCGACCCCCCGAGCCGCGTTCCGCTTGGACTGCCGGTACCCGTCAGCTGCCTCTGGAGTCCCACAGGCCAAAAAGACCTGATAGGACTCTTTCTTCAGCTTGACAGCATCCCTAACCGCCGGTGTCCACCAGCGGGTTCGGGGTTGCCACCACGACAGGCACAGACGATCCTGCGACCACAGCTCCGGTCCCGCCTCAACAATGGAGGCATGGAACAGGGTCCATTCAGACTCAATGTCCCCCGCCTCCCCCGGAACATTTTGGAAGTTCTGTCGGAGGTGGGAATTGAAGCTCCTTCTGACAGGAGACTCTGCCAGACGTTCCCAGCAGACCCTCGCGATACGTTTGGGCCTGCCTGGTCTGACCAGCATCCTCCCCCACCATCTGAGCCAACTCACCCCCAGGTAGTGGTCAGTTGACAGCTCCGCCCCTCTCTTCACCCGAGTGTCCAAGACATGCGGCCGCAGGTCAGATGAAACAACAACAAAGTCGATCGTCGAACTGTAGTTTGGTGCATAAGCACAGACCACAGTCAGAACCCCTCCCCCCACACGTAAGTGGAGGGAGGCTAGCTTCTCATTCACCGGGGTAAACCCCAACGTACAGGCACCAAGATGGGGGGCAACTAGTATGCCCACCCCTGCTCGGCGCCTCTCAGTGGGAGCAACTCCAGAGTGGTAGAAAGTCCAACCCCTCTCAAGGAAACTGGTTCCAGAGCCAGAGCCATGCGTTGAGGAGAGTCCGACTAGATCTAATCAGAACCTCTCAACCTCACACACCAACTCAGGCTCCTTCCCCACCAGAGAGGTGACATTCCTTGTGCCAAGAGCCAGCTTCTGTAGCCG